TGGGTCTGCCACACTATATTCTTAACTGGGTCTGCCACACTATATCCTTAACTGGGTCTGCCATACTATATTCTTAACTGGGTCTGCCACACTACATTCAAAACTGGGTCTGCTACACCATATTCTAAACTGGGTCTCCACACAATATTATAAACAGGGTCTGCTACACCATATTCTAAACTGGGTCTGCAAAACCATATTCTAAACTGGGTCTGCAAAACCATATTCTAAACTGGGTCTGCTACACCATATTATAAACTGGGTCTGCTACACTTATTCTAAACTAGGTCTGCTACACCATATTCTGAACTGGGTCTGCAAAACCATATTCTAAACTGGGTCTGCTCAACCATGTTCTAAACTGGGTCTGCAAAACCATATTTTAACCTGGGTCTGCCACACTATATTTTAAACTGGGTCTGCAAAACCATATTCTAAACCGGGTCTGCAAAACCATATTCTAAACTAAGTCTGCTACACCATATTATAAATTGGGTCAGCTACACCAAATTCTAAACTGGCTCTGCTACACCATATTCTAAACTGGGTCTGCTAAACCATATTCTAAACTGGGTCTGCAAAACCATTTTCTAAACTGCGTCTGCTACACTATATTCTAAACTGGGTCTGCTACACCATATTCTAAGCTGGGTCTGCCGCACTATATTCTAAACTGGGTCTGCAAAACCCTATTCTAAACCGGGTCTGCAAAACCATATTCTAAACTGGCTCTGCTACACCACATTCTAAACTGGGTCTGCTAAACCATATTCTAAACTGGGTCTGCTAAACCATATTCTAAACTGGGTCTGCTACACTATATTCTAAACTGGGTCTGCTACACTATATTCTAAACTGGGTCTGCTACACAATATTCTAAACTGGGTCTTCCACACTAAAATTCTAAACTGGGTCTGCATAAATGAACACTTCTGGGACAATTCTCGAAAATTATTAATGAATTTTGATTGTCAATTGAAACATTTATCAATCTAATATAATTTAGAATGCAGAAAATAAGTTAATTTTGACGAAAATTTTTTCTTGAAATTTTCATGAAAAATTTGCTGAAATGAGTGAAAATTAAAAAAAAACGGTGTATTTCCAGGATAAAAATCCGTACAATTTGAAAAAAATCCGTACAATCCGTACATTTTGGCCACCCTGTAAATTACGAAAAAAAGTTGAAAACATTTCTCACAATTTAAATACATGAAGAAGAAACTATAGAACATTAAATAAAAAAATAAAGCTTTTCGCTCAAATACAAATATTTTTATATATTAGCTATAGCGGACCAAACTGCTGAACCAAATTGAAACATTCTTTAAGGAAACTCATTGATATCCTGGGGGCAACATGAAGGCTATAAAAAATCAAAAGTTTTATTTTTATCAAAATTAATTTATTTTTTGAGACTTTTTTATTTTTCAGTATTTAATTTTTTATTCCGCCACAACAGTGTAGAAACAACTAAAATTTAAGTACCTGAGTTCCCTTAATAATTACTGTATGCGCTGGTAGATTTACTCCCCAGGCTAGGGTCACGGTCGACACAAGAACCTGAATATGTCGATCTACAAACAAATCTTCGACTAGGGTTTGGTCAACACGCGACATACCGGCGTGGTGAAAAGCAAAACCGTAGTGAAGGAGGTCCCTGAGCTCCAGGTTCTTCACCTAAATGTAAAACTAAATTAGTCTATGAAAATCTATATAATAAAACAAGAAATTCGTATATATGTTGCCTATAGCCGGCAAAACGTCTGGACCGAGTGAGCTGATTTTTTTTGTAGACATTGATAGGTTGCCAGGGAGTGTTATTGGCTAAAAAATTCGATTTTTTTTTTCAACATTTCTTTACAAATTTTTTTTTCACGGGCAACGCTGGGCCCTTCAGCTGGTATACTATAAGATTGAAAGGGCGTTTACAGGTAATAGATCTGAAATACCGCCTGCAGGGCAGTGCTAAGGATACGGATCAGTTGGATCCGCAAGATTTTGGCTTCCTGGATCCGGATCCGCAAAAATATACGGATCCACGGATCCGAATCCAAGGGGTAAAATATCAACCAAAAACTGCAAAAAAAAATTTTTACTTCTAAACCCCAATTCTGAAAACTTGTGAAAAAAAGCGAGATTATAAAAATTTCCTCATTTCTGAATGGTTTATCAAGTTAAAAGGATAAAAACAAGCGGAAAAAATGAAACAAAAAATTTGAAATTTTTTTTGTTAAAAAATTCAGTGTTTCTTAAAGAAATGACCTGGATCCGGATCCATTTTTAATCCAGTGCGGATCCAGGATCCGGATCCGGATCCGCTTCAAAATTAAATGGATCCTAAGCACTACTGCAGGGTAACCAACTAAAATATAGAAAAAGACAAAGTGTCCATAAAACTTCAGGTACATGGTGTCCCACATCATGTTAGACTGAGAACGGAAATTACGATTTTCGGGACTAATCAGAAAATCTAATAAAAATGAATAATTTAATAGGATAACATAATTCTTATTTAAGAATTTTCTTGCGGAAAATGATAAGTTGATCGAGTGATAAGGATTTATTTTGTCGTTAAAGATTGGAGATAATCTAATATGATTTGGGACGCTCTGTATATTAATGTGCCGAATCCGAATCTAATTTCTTTCAAGACGTGGATTCATTTCAAGGACTAATCCCAGATCCTGATCAGCATTAAAATGGAATGGACCCTAAGCACTATAATGAGGATTGAGGAAGATATTGGTGTCTTGTCTAGCTTCTTAAATTAAAACTTAATTAATTAAAGAAAACTTAAAAAGAGGACACGACAAAAATGCCCATCCCCTTCCTGTTACAGATTAGTGAAGAATACCTCCCCGACCCCCTTCTCTTGATACAGATTAGTGAAGAATAAACCTCGCCCCCCATCATTTCCCTCCTGTTACAGATTAGTGAAGAATGTTCATAATTATTGACTGCTTGACATTGATCCCTAAATATCCTTACTAATTATTATTCCTACATTGATCCCAATATATTTCTTTAACATTAATCTCCTTACATTTGATCCAAGATAAACATTTTATATTGGCACATATCTCATAAATAATAAATGATCGCATTAATACCTTAACATTGATCCCTAAATATTTCTTTTTACATTATTTTCCGTAAATTTTTACACAGTAAACATTACTTTTAACATTGATCCCCAAAACTTTCTAATTTCCTACTATCTAACTATTTATTTTTAAGTACATAAAATCAAATCAAACTTTTTACAGTTTCAAGATGACTTAAGTAATTTTAAATTGTAGCCTGGGTTTATGATTTGTGATGATCAACGAATTACTCCTCATTTTTTAATTAATGTAATCTTTACACAACGGACAACTGTCAATAGTTATTAATTGAAAATTTTGCAATTTGTACTGTTTTATTATTCCTATATTAGCCCGGCATTGTCCGTGGAGTTTTAACTGGGGTGGGGGTGGGGAATCGAATTTTAAAAAAGAAAAAAATTCCATTTCTATTAAGCCTACATTACCCATGGTCACCCAATACACATGGGTTTCATTAAAAACATCAGCCAATATTGTCCAGCTATAGCTAACATACAGGGTGTCCCAATAAACATGAGAATTCAGTGACGACTTTTATACAGTCTTCGATCCATGCGGCCTTTTTTCATGAGAAGTATTCCAATATTACAGCTTGAACATCTAATATCGAAAACGCCTGATCTTGAGATTTTCAAAGTCTGGTATACCATTTTTATAACTTCAAAATTGACAGAAATATTTAAAAAGTACAAATTTCAATCAATTTAACAAATCAAAATTGTCTGGATATTAAATTTCTTCCTCAATTTTTAAGAAAAGCTCGTCAGACGGACAGCCTCGTGTTTTACTTTTCTTCCACATGCGTTAAGTATCAAAAATCAAAGACGACTTTCAAGTCGTCTCTTAATTCTCATGTTTTTAAGACACCCTGTGACTTTATTGTAAGATTAATTAGTATGAAAACGATTTAGTGTCCAGTCTACCTAATAGCTCGAGCAGTTTTACCAGTTTCCTTACGACTGTGAACAAATATTAGAACCTTAACAAAATCTGATTAGTAACTACCCTATACATTGGGATGAGCAATAGCCAGATTCGCTGAACAGAAACGTTGAATGCTTTTAGACTTTTGAAAGGTTTTACGACTATAAAAGAAGGTTACAATATTTTAAACCTTAATGCGTAGAAATTTGCTTTTATCAAACATACAAATGTGTTACCCTAGAAGATAATAAAAGGCAAAAACTATCGTTTTAAACAATATTTTTTGTTTTTTTTTTACAACGATCTTTTCTGGTTTGTTTTCGCCTTATATTTTTACATAGGATAACAAATTGGCATGTTTGATAAGAGTAAAATTCTACAGAGTACAATTTTAAATCGTTGGACCCTTCTCAGATTGTCATAAAACCTTTTAAAGTCTAAAAATATTAAAAGATTCTGTAAAACATCTTGCTATTGCCCATCGCTACCTATACTGTACAGTGAAAAATGTACAATGTATCATTTACTCTCAGACAAATTAGAATCATTGAATCCCGAGGGGGTTTTAATTTCCATTGATTCTAATTTGTCTGAGAGTAAATGACATTCCTTTTTAAAGAGGGGATTCAATGATAAACCCGAGGGCTTGCGGATTTTGCGGATTTTTTTTTGCCTTTGTAGATTTTCAAAGTATCTTTCAATGAAAATATCCCGGCGGGATTAAATGAAAATTGTTGCATACCAAAAAACTCGCTTTTTATAAAGGAATGTACAATGTACAATGTATCATTTACTTTTACAAATTAGAATCAATGAAAATTTGAATCCCGTTAGGCCTGCTTAGTTTTGATGTTACTTCTCCTAGAAAATGCAGTGCATTCATTATGCAAACTAAAGGTGCATCATCATCCCTTCTATTTAATTACTGGTCAGTGGCGTAAATAAGGGGGGTTATTGGGGTTAAACTAGAGTCTTCAATACAGGACCACGCTCGTCATGAATAAGATGGATTTCGTCAAAGATGATGAGTTTGACGAGTTGAGTGTAGGTTCTTCCCCCCTCCCCTTTGCAGTCTGCTCCTTGGTCAACTGATTATTCTCTAAACATATGAAATAGTTGATTATTCCCTAAACAGATGAAATAGTTGATAATTGATTATTAACTAAGTAATCGAATTGAAAAAACAAAATTTTTAAGGTATTAAATTTTTTTAATAAACAATTCCGATAAGACAAAAATCGTAAAAACTGTAGAAAAGATCCCAAAGTAAATTAACCTGTCAGTTCAGAAACCGTAATGTTATATTTTGCCAGACGTTTCCCGAAGTTTCCTAAAATATATCATTCAAGTAGAATCAAACAAGTAATTATTTTCCAGAAAAGGGTTTGAATTCCTGTAAGAAATGTTCGACTGTTAAACCCTACGGTGGACGCTTTTTAATCTAAATGCTAAAAAATAATTTTTAGAGTAAAAAAGGCGACAAAAGTGCATTGTCATACTTCGGATAAAAACAAAAATGATTGATTGATTCACTGACCTGTCATCTCCAGTACTAGAGACCGCATAGGCGCAATATAGATAATATTAAAATTATCTGCGTTGATGCTCCCATCCTTGTTCACATGCTTCCCGATCTCATGGAGCATTGTCAGCAGCGCCAAAACAGCAGGTTCTCGTCAGACTCTATACAGGCCTGAAGAAAAGGAATCGAGTCGTTACCTTAAACTCAGATTTTCTAATCCCAATATCTTTGCAACTTTCTGATACCTTAGATATTTTATACCCAAGATTATTTTTTTAACAGAATTCAGTTTCAAATATCTTAGGTCTACAACATTGAAAAGATATAAAGATTCCTTAATAAATAACAATAAAATATAAAAGAATAGGTAATTAAGAATTTGAAATTAGGGTTTAGAAAAAAAGTAAAAGGTTTGTATGCTTTGACATGGGACAACCTCGTTCAAATAAAGCCGATTGAAAACCGTAAATCGAAACAAAATCACCCCACCCCCCAAAAAAAAAAATATTGGGTTTTCTACTTTTGGCAAGTTTTTAGTTTTTCAATCTTTCCACCGAAACTGGGCGCTATTAGGAAAATACTAAAATATAAAGCAATAATTTATTGTTTGTGGGGGGGGGGGTACTTACTTTGTAGCGCCTGGACTGTATTTTAATAAGAGCCTTAAATCCCTCGAAGGCGGGCTGGGTGATGCTGGTAGCCTCTCAATTGCTTGTCAGCACCAAACGGTTCAGGTTTAAGAGCAGGGACATACACCTCTTCATATCCTTTCTTCTGCTTCCTGCATAAAAATACAATTTCAACTAAAGTTTGAAATTAAGATTTATATAATTTACTAACTAAAGTGCCCGGCGTTGCCCGTGGAATTAAAACTTAATTAGCCTATATGTTACCCCCAGATTTTGTATGATATGGGGAAAAAAGGAAAATTTGACTATCAAAGGGCAACTATTTTCATTCTTTTTCAATTTACTTCCCAAAAAAAATCATTTATTTTACCCAGTTCAGTGAATAAAACCCTAAAACATAAATTGCGCTCCTAGCATGCATTTGCATATATATTTGCATATATATTTACATATATATTTGCATATATAACTACTTTGGGGAAAATAATTTCCTAACTGGGAAGAGGAGGGTGGGGTTTGTACAAAATATTACAAAGCTCTTTAATTGACTTAAACCTGTAAGATCCGTCCGGGAGTTGACAACGCTATAGATACAAGATGAGATCCGTGAGAGAAAACTAGTTTGTATAGATTTAACTGTTTACACCTGAAATGCTAAAGATATGTTCGTGACCTGGATCTGGATCCGGATCTCATATATGGAAAGGATGAAAGGATATCAAATAATCTCTTCAGAAATCAATTTATCACTTCAAAAATTCATTAGTCACTTAAAATAAGGAAAATCTATTAACCACTTAAAAATCTATCAATCACTTAAAATTCTAATAATCACTTAAAACATCAAGCAATCAGTTCAAAAATCATTAATCACTTTAAAAATCTATCAATCACTTAAAAATCTATATATCACTTTAAAAAAATCAATTTTTCACTCAAAACTATATTAATCACAAAAAAAATCAATTTATCAGTTCAACTTCAATTTATCAGTTTAATAACTATTCATTCAGTTAAAAAAAATTTGAAAACTATATGTTGAAAAAAGTTAAGCTGGGTTAAGCCAACTTTTTGGTCGAGGTCTGCGGCTAGGACAGGCTAGGGGGCCGAGCGCTGCGGCTACATGTCTTACATTTAAAATAAATGTAAAAAATTGATAAACTTCATCCTTGAATCTGCACACTTGCTAATGCTAATTAACAATCCGCTCTCTTGAGTGTTGGTTTGGATCGAGCACGTGCCGGTGAGACGCAGAGCCGGAGTTTCCTCCATAGGAAGTGGTCGTGTATTTCACCGTTTCACATACGTTGGGGGACGATATGTTGGCCGCTAGATATGTCTCATGCTGAATTCTTATCTGATAGATAGATATTTCTCCGTACATTTGACGACCAATATAGGAGACGTCAAGTTGTCGACCAATCATCAACGTAGCAGCCTTATGAAAGTTCAGAAAGGTCTTGAACTGGACGAGGCCGGAAGCTCGGTACGTCTTGAGCGCCCATTGGTTGGTAGCTGTTGTTATGAAAACAGGGATGAATATATCATTGAACTTTTTTAACACCCTTCCCCTGCACGATTTTAACTTTGCATTAAGACTTAATATATAAAGAAATTTTTAAAAATTAAAAATGTAGACAACATTTTTGTAAAAGGGGGGTGTGAAGGGGTTCGGGGTANGGTGGGGTTGGGGTAATTTGAGTGTGGGCCGGTTATATCATTCACTAATTTAAATAATTTTTATCAAGTGGGGAGGCAAAATGGGGGGCATCAGGGGGGGCGGATAAAATAGGTTAAAAAATCATGGAATATGGAGAAATAAAAATAAAGCAATATTAGTTGCATAATTAGTCAAACATGACCAAACTGCAAAATTGATCCAGCATTAATTGAGACCTGGTTCAGGTTCCGGAGTAATCAAGGATACTTCTCTCAATTAGGATAGGGTTCCGGTTGCAGAGTTTTCTCAACTAGGTTAGGGTTCAGGTTCCGGAGTAATCAAGAATACTTCGCTCAATTAGGTTAGGGTTTTGGTTGCAGAGTAATCTCAACTACGTTAGGGTTCAGGTTCCGGAGTAATCAAGGATACTTCTCTCAATTAGGTTAGGGTTCAGGTTGCAGAGTTTTCTCAACTAGGTTAGGGTTCAGGTTCCGGAGTAATCAAGGATACTCTCTCAACTATAAGGTTAGGGTTTAGGTTGCAGATTAATCTCAACTAGGTTAGGGTTCAGAAATGTGGCTTAGAACAGAAAAAATAACTTAGAAATGTGGCTTAGAAAAATATTATGACTTAGAAATGTGTCTTAGATAAATATCATGACTTGAAACTGACTTTGGCCATGTGGCTTGGAAATGTGGCTTAGACAAATATCATGACTTAGAAATGAGTCTTAGATAAAAATTATGATTTGGAACTGTAGCTTAGACCTTGCAGATAACTAAGACATGTGTCTTAAATATGTCTAAGCCTGTTTTGGGTACATAATTATGTCTGAGACACTTTCTAAGTCTAAACTGATAAGTCACAATCATTTAGGTTGGGGTTCAGGTTCTGGAAAAAGAAAGGAACTTCTCTCAACTAGGTTAGGGTTTAGGTTGCAGAGTAATCTCAACTAGGTTATGGTTCAGGTTCTGGAGTAATCAAGGATACATCTATCAACTGGGTTAGGGTTCAGGTTGAAGAGTTTTCTCAACTAGGTTAGGGTTCAGGTTCCAGAGAAATCAAGAATACATCTATCAACTAGGTTAGGGTTCAGGTTCCGGAGTAATTATGGATACTTCTCTCAACTAGGTTAGGGTTCAGGTTGTAGAGTAAACAGGGATACTTCTCTCAACTAGGCTAGGGTTTAGGTTGCAGAGTAATCTCAACTAAGTAAGGGTTCAGGTTCTGGAGTAATCAAGGATACATCTATCAACTGGGTTAGGGTTCAGGTTGAAGAGTTTTCTCAACTAGGTTAGGGTTCGGGTTCTGGAGTAATCAAGGATACTTCTCTCAATTAGGTTAGGGTTCAGGTTGCAGAGTAATCTCAACTAGGTTAGGGTTCAGAAATGTGGCATAGAACAGAAAAAATGACTTAGAAATGTGGCTTAGATAAATATCATGACTTGGAACTAACTTTGGCCTAGACCATAAAGATGAATAGGACAGAGTAATCTCACCTAGGTTAGGGTTCCGGTTCTGGAGTAATCAAGGATACTTCTCTCAACTAGGTTTGGGTTCAGGTTTCAGAGTAAACAGGGAGGCATCTATCAACTAGGTTAGGGGTTAGGTTGCAGAGTAGTCTCAACTGGATTAGGGTTTAGGTTCTGGGGTAATCAAGGATACTCTCTCAACTAGGTTAGGGTTGAGGTTGCAGAGTAATCTCAACTAGGTTTGGGTTCAGGTTTCAGAGTAAACAGAGATACTTCTAACAACTAGGTTAGGGTTTAGGTTGCAAAGTAATCTCAACTGGATGAGGGTTCAAGTTCTGGGGTAATCAAGGATACTCTCTCAACTAGGTTAAGGTTGAGGTTGCAGAGTAATCTCAACTAGGTAAGGGTTCAGGTTCCAGAATAATCAAGGATACTTCTCACAACTAGGTTAGGGTTCAGGTTGCAGAGTAATCTAAACTAGGTTAGGGTTCAGGTTCTGGAGTAATCAAGGATACATCTATCAACTGGGTTATGGTTCAGGTTGGAGATTTTTCACAACTAGGTAGGGTTCTGGTTCCAGATGTAAACAAAGATACTACTCTCAACTAGGTTAGGGTTCAGGTTGCAGAGTTTTCTCAACTAGGTTATGGTTCAGGTTGCAGAGTTTTCTCAACTAGATTAGGGTTCAGGTTCTGGAGTAATTAAGAATAATTTTCTCAATTAGGTTAGGGTGCAGGTTGCAGAGTAATCTCAACTAGGTTAGGGTTCAAAATGTGGCTTAGAACCGAAAAAATAACTTAGAAATGTGGCTTAGAAAAATATTATGACTTGACACTGACTTTGGCCTAGACCATAAAGATGACTAGGACATGTGGTTTAGAAATGTGGCTTAGACAAATATCATGAATTTGGAATGAGTCTTAGATAAAAATTATGATTTGGAACTGTGGCTTAGACATGTGTCTTAAATATGTCTAAGCCTGTTCTGGGTACATAATTATGTCTGAGACACTTTCTATGTCTAAAATGATAAGTCACAATCATTTAGGTTAGGGTTCAGGTTTTGGAAAAATTAAGGAACTTCTCTCAACTAGGTTAGGGTTCAGGTTGCAGAGTAATCTCAACTAGGTTAGAGTTCAGGTTCCAGAATAATTAAGGATACTTCTCTCAACTAGGTTAGGGTTTAGGTTGCAGAGTAATCTCAACTAGGTTAGGGTTCAGGTTCTGGAGTAATCAAGGATACATCTATCAACTGGGTTAGGGTTCAGGTTGAAGATTTTTCTCAACTAGGTTAGGGTTCGAGTTTCGGATGTAAAAAAGGATACTTTTCTCAATTAGGTTAGGGTTTAGGTTGCAGAGTAATCTCAACTAGGTTAGGGTTCAGGTTCTGGAGTAATCATTGATACATCTATCAACTGGGATAGGGTTCAGGTTGAAAAGTTTTCTCAACTAGGTTAGGGTTCAGGTTCTGGAGTAATCAAGGATACATCTATCAACTGGTGTAGGGTTCAGGTTGAAGAGTTTTCACCACTAGGTTAGGGTTCGGGTTCCAGAGAAATTCAGGTTGCAGAGTTTTCTCAACTAGGTTAAGGTTTGGCTTCCGGGAGTAATCAAGAATACTTCTCTCAATTAGGTAAGGGTTCAGGTTGCAGAGTAATCTAAACTAGGTTAGGGTTCAGAAATGTCTCAACTAGGTTAGGGTTTGGCTTTCGGGAGTAATCAAGAAAACTTCTCTCAATTAGGTTAGGGGTTCAGGTTGCAGAGTAATCTCAACTAGGTTAAGGTTCAGAAATGTGGCTTAGAACAGAAAAATGACTTAGAAATGTGGCTTAGAAAAATATTATGACTTAGAAATGCGTCTTAGATAAATATCATGACTTGACACTGACTTTGGCCTAGACCATAAAGATGACTGGGACATGTGGCTTGGAAATGTGGCTTAGACAAATATCATGACTTAGAAAAGAGACTTAGATAAAAATTATGATTTGGAACTGTGGCTTAAACCGTGAAGATAACTGAGACATGTGGCTTAGATATGTCTTAAATATGTCTAAGCCTGTTTTTGGGGACAAAATTATGTCTAAGACACTTTCTAAGTCTAAAAAAATCAGTCACAATCATTTCTAAGTTGCATTTTTCTTGTTCAATTTTGTTTAAGTGTATGACTTTGATTTGATTGTTAGTTTAAATATTTAAAGACATCATGAAACTTCGGGCACCAACATATCTTAGTTGTTCTTTTAAGCTTAATAATGTTCAAGATCTTCTTCCTCTTTTGCCAAAACTTGCCCTTTCTAAGGGTTTTCTTTAAAGCATCAAAAATGATTCTTGACCAGAAAAATGAAAAATTTCTTTCGTCTTGTTTTACAACTGTGGGCAAAATTTCATTTAAACTATTTTTGGTTAATTTGAACTATTTTTCTGTTCACTAGAACTAGTAGCGCAGCGCTTGGCCCCTTAGCCTGTCCTAGCCGCAGCGCTTGGCCAAAATACTGTCTTAACCTAACCTAAAAAATGTTTTTTTTTCTCTGCAAATAATTACGGTCAGAAAAAGACTACTTTTAAGGCAGCAGACTTAATTTTCCTTTCATTTAAGGAGTTTCTGGTCGTCTTTACAATCTC